CACCAGCCTGGGACAGCTGCGGGCCCCTTAGCCTCCCCTGATTCCAAGCAACGGCCATCCCAGTAGGGGACTGCCTACACTGTGCCTTTATGACCAGCCTGACAGACCGAGTGGAAATGAGCATCTCACCAAACGGGGCCTGGAAATAGAAGTGATGGGAAAGAACTTTAGGACAGGTTAGACGCCGAGTAGGCAAACATCAGACCAATGATACTCCAAGCCGCCTACTCCCCGAGTTGGGTTCCTGAGATGAGAGTGTGTGTGTGTGTTGCCTTGAACTGTGTTCAAGGATATAAGTGTTTTAGGTTGGGGACAAGCTGAAAAATCAAGACCCTCCCTAAGTTGGTCTCCTCTCCAGTCACCTTGAGCTCTATAGGCATGAAGACTATTCAGGGCTCCATTGCCAAACCAATGGCCTTTCCTCAGTGTTGTAAGGCTTGTGCCAAGGAGAAAGGAGGGGTCAGCGGGTGCCCGGGGCAGACTCCTTTTTAAAACCTTTCTCCAGCCAGCTGCTGCAGATGGAGGACAATTCTGGGAGATGGAAGCTTGTTCCCGAACTGGTTGCCCCAGGGGCCATCCCGTCCTGCAGTTCAAGGGCTGCACTTCCTTCCAGCGAGTGCCTGGCCTGGGCCCTGGGCCTGCCTTCCTCACCACCTAGCCATAAGTCTCAAACCCGTGGGGAAGGAGGTCTTCCTGCCGTGGAAGAGGGCAGATAACCGATTTCCGTTCTTTTGACTCTTTTAAAATTCTCTTTCTAAACATGGAGTGTTGGGCCTGTTTTGTTTCTGACAAAGCTGCAGTCCTGGGCTTAGGGTGAATGTGGGAGGCACTGGGGGTGCAGAGAAGAGGAAAATCCCAAAAGCCTGAATATGTGTGTCCCCTTAGCTTATATGTGGATCAGCTGAGCTTGGTACTGTCTGTAAGTCTGTCTTCAGGGATTCTCTGCTGGTGCTGGTGCAAGGACTTTGGTTCCAAAGTCCAGGAAGGGCGCTCCCTACCTGCCCTTCCTTTTCTTGGGCAGGGCTCTTTCCTGTTGTGTCTTCCCCTGGGCCTGGCCTGTGACAAGCTCTACTCCATCTTCATCCCTCCTGGCCGTTGCTTTTTCTCTCCAGGGCCTTGGAGGCACTCCTGCTTTTCCTGGGCTGAGGGGGAGTGGGTGTTCTTATCATTACTTTGCCAGCCTAACACACATGCTTCCTGCCTCTGGTAACAGGTATGATGAGCCCTTCATACACCTGCCCTTTTTGTGTCTCTTGCTTTCAAAGTTTGTTAAAAGTGAATGCTTTAAAAAGGAGCCACAAAATGGAATTCCCCAGGATAGAAATGGGGGGGAACTGCCGCTATAATTGGGAGCATAAGGGACCACCCCCCCTCCCCCAAAAGGAGGACCCATTTCAGCATCTCGGCTTTAATCGTGGTTTCCCCCAGGGTTGGGTGGGGTTCTGTCCTCTTCCCTCCCTCCCCCCCTCTGAGGCCGGAAGGAGTTCCTCTCTCACCTCTTGTCCCTGGAGGCAGGTGTTACAAAGCATTTGTACATTATTTCAGGTGTAAGGACACCTCCCACTCGGGACTCATCCCCATTATCCATTTCCATTTCCACACATTAGGTCCAGCCTGAGAAGAGCCAAGTCGGGGAGCAGCAGCTTCATGTTCTGGGTGGTAGCTGGCTGACTAGCATCTTTCCCGTATTATGGTGCCACCTCCTGCTTTGTCCGAGGATGTAAGGCCTCGTGTTTCCCTGGTGTCACAGACGTGGAACAGTCCCCAAAGCCATATGGTCCTTTCCTCCAGCGTCATTTCTAGTTTCCATGGGGTCCTGCAGGAAGGGGGAGGAGGGCTCTGGTATAAGCCAGGGACAAAGGCTCCTGAAGGAAATGGGGGCCTCCGGACCTAAGGCCCAGGGCTAGGCCTCCACCCTATACTGTGGGAGGGGTCTCTCTTAAGACCCACCCTAAGGGCTAATTTAACCCTTGGGTTCAATCTGCCATCTGTCCCAGCCAAGGTTTTCTGACTAAGCAAAAATGTCCCTAGGACGCTTTCTCCATGTTCCTCCAATGAAGAGCCCAGGCGGCCCCTTGCCTATCAGGCTTGTCCGAGTGTGACCCATGACAGGGCCAGGAGAGCTGGGGGCAGTGTCCTCATGTCTTGTGCGGACTCTGTCCTGCCCACCTGCAGTTCCTCAACAGACAAGCCATTTCCACTTCCCCAGAGACGCAACCAGGCCAAATAAACCTGAACAGGGTCTGTCCGTGTGTCCCAGAGCCAGCCTCATTTGCTGTCTGGTTTCCAGTGTCAAGTGTGTTTGGGGGCAAGAGAAGATTGCTCCTGAGACGACGCAGGCCAGACCCAGTTTGGGGAGGAAGACTGGGAGGGAGCCGGTTTGCCTCAGGATCTGCTCGGGCTTCCTACCAGCCCTCCCTGTGTGCGGCTGCCACGCCTGGTCAACACCAACTCAAACCATGCCAGGAATCTGCCCCCCTGCCGGGTTCAGTTCTTTAATGTGCCTCTTCAGGGACACAGTGTGTCTCTCTGATTGGGCTTCTAAGTCAAAGCCTGATGTTCCTGTCCCTCTCATAGGGGGAGCTTTGGACACAGGACCAGTTTGGAAAGGGTCAGGTAAGAGTTCACTCTGCACATTGTAGAGGGGACACGCTGTAGGCCCATGGGTCCCTTATATAGAGAGGTTGAGCAAATTTGCCTTCAGTTAACCTGGGACTTTTCTGTTTCATTCCCTCCTGCCTCCCAAAGATTATGACCATTTTGTAAGTGTATAAACTCACCTCTGTTAACAGTGGCCAAAAAGCTTCGTGCTAAAAAGGCATGGGAAATCTAAAGGCATCCGTTCCCTGAAAAATGGGTGCCATCCTATCCTGCTACCCCTGTCCTGTTCCTGAAGCCTCACTCAGCAGGGCAGCCCCTTTGTAATGCTGTCCTGCATCCCCTGCCCCAGCCAGGCCAAGGGTCAGGAAGGGAAGCCTGTTTTCCCCTCTACGTCTTCAGTTGGTTATCGTTGTCCCTCGGTCACTGTAAAACGGGGCTTTCGGTCCCACCCCCCCTTTTTAAGGCAGAGGTCTGGCCCGCTGCCCCTGGAGCAGACCCTCCGCTTGGGCCCCACGTGCTTCTTTGCTTGTCTTTATCCCACGTTTGACACGATCCACGTCAGTGCCACTTTTCCCCTTCAAGTCGCCATTTGGAGGGTAGGGGATCTGCTTCCTACTGTGACTGGGCTATGGGATTCTGACTACCTTGCTTAAAGATTCATGGTTTGATAAATTTGTATTTAAAAACTTGAAATGTAGGGCGCCATTATGTGTCTGTTTATATTTTTGGAATATTTGTATTACTTACAATTAATAAAAGTGGGTTTAAAAAGCCCATCCAGAAAGGGGCACTGCCTCCTGACCCTGCTGTTCATTTGGGCATCTACTGGGCACACCCTTCACCCCTGGCAACCCCTTCGTCATGATGAAGCCGGAGTACCATGTCTGGGAGACCAGCTGCAGACTCAGCACGGGCTTCTGCTCAAAGTCACAGAAGTCAGGCTATATTAGCTCTTCCCTAGCCCCCAACAGAACCAACTCCATTGCCATCCAGGTGCTTAATAAGCATGCACTTGGTGTCCTATCGACTTACGGGGATAGACCTGCAGCCCCAGGGGACTTGGAGTCTTCATTCTTCTGTGCCCCTTACTGATGTTCCCAAACCAGGATGCCTGAAGCTCAGAGCCCAGGATGGTTCCTGGCACATAGTAGGCACTCAAATATTGATTGGACTGATGTATGACACCAAGAAGCAGAACAGGATGAGGTATAACACTCCTGGCCCCTCTCCTAGACCCGCCCTCCCCTTCTGAGAAATGCCCAGAAGCTTCTTGGGGAGGCGCTTACCAGCCTGGACATCCAGGCACTCGGCAGGCAGCTCTAGCCCTTGCCTCCTGTCAGCATAATGCATCTGTATCTACAATATGGCAAATTTCATATCCTCCCACCCACTTTCCTGCATTATTGATGGGCTATGCACTTTTAAAAAATCAATTAGATCAGGGCGTGGAGCTGGAGTTAAAAAAAAAAAAAAGCCTTTAAAAGTCTGCTCTTGTTTTTTTGCTGTTTTGAATAGGAACAGATAAAGCTTTCCCTCTGGTTTGAATAAGTCAAGCCCAGGGCTAGGTTGGCTGTGATTGGCCAGGACTAGGAAAATGTGGTTAAGATGCAAACCCAAGCAAATATAACCCAGTGTCTGTGCAGCCATTAATAAGCTCAGGCGGCAGACCTGGAGACTCCTGCTTTGGGGTGGTTCTTCAAAAGCGCTGCTGCTTACTTGCCAGCAAACTGGGAAGACTGTGGGAGAAAAGCAAGGCAAGGTAAGGTCTGTTCGGTTTGCGGGTGCATGCCAGTAGAGCGATCCTACTGAACAAGGAAGAAACAAAAGGGAGAGGAGATTGAGATTTCCCTTGCTCTGTCTTCGGTGAGGCTTTTAAAGGGTTGGACCAGGAGTTTGAAACACGTTTTGCAAAGTTCTGAAAAACCAAGGTCCTTTTTAGAGACCTCTGAACAGTTAGGGCACATTTTTAAAAGCTGGGGATGAAGAGGACCCCTCAGAAAGATGGTCTGGGGCATGGGAGAGGTTAAAACCAGCAACCTCTGTTTGGGGTCCATTCATACTGGCATCTCTCTTAAGAATTAAGGGCCACTAGCTTTTAACTCGTGATTTCAAAACTGCACCCCACCCCAGGGGTTTCTGCAGTGATCTTAAAGGGTGCTGAATTCATCAGAACCTGGGAGGCGGGAGAGAGGGACTAAGTTTGGGGAAAATTTGATGTCACAGATGGAGTCGCATTTTCTGGGTGTTCCAGTGTGGCAAGAAGTCCCTTTGAGCATGTCCTCTCCTGCATTTGGGGGACCCAGGACCCGTAAGATCCTTCCTGCTTACAAATGGGAATGCTTTTGGCCTCAAAGACGGCCCTAATTAATGCCAGTTGGGTTGGCTTTTACCAGGTTGACACTTCTCTACTTTCAAGGAGTGAATTCATTGGCCCTTGTCCCCTTTGCCTAGTTACTAACAGCACTTGCCTTGAATGACTGAAATGGAGGGTCTGAAGAAAACCTGAACAAATATTTCCTGGCAGTTCTGAGCAGCACAGGGTGGGGCGATGCAAGTTATCAAATTAAATCCTCAAACAGTGGCTGCTCCGCCTCGCTGCTCAGCTTTAGTCCTGCCATAGCAGTAGACAAAGGGAGTTTGTTTTTGTGTTTTCACTAAAATACATACTAAACAGCACATATTCTCCAAACCGGGTTCATCCACCACAGCTCAAGAAAGAATGGCCAGACATGCTCCTCTTAACAAGCACAGTGTGCCTCTAGATCGCAAAGCTCCCCACAGCCTTTGTGGATGGGTTTCCATCCGACATAGACCATCAAGCCGGTCCTGTTCCTTTGCCTCTTGGGCATATTCATCATGTGTATTGTCATCAGATTGTAAGCTCCTTGAGATCAAGAACCAGGCATGCCTTCTAATTACATAAAGGACCCATGGGACCATGATCGAGTGTAGGTGCTTGATAACCCTGGATACGCCTTGAATAGAGATGGTGCACTGAATAGAGATGGTGCACGATCCACACAGACTTCTCTTTACCACTGCCTTCCTCCCGCCACCCAAGGCCAGACACAGCACCACTGGCTCCTTAAGGTCGGGAAGAGGGAGGGCAGCAGCTCACTGGCAGGCCAGGCCACGCCCACCTCCCCCTGTTGGCACCTGTACTCTGTCCCAGGCCCAGCCTTGCTTGCCATTTTACTTTTTTTGCTGTGAGGTACAGGGAATATATTAGTCAAGTAGGATGGGTTGTCTGAGTTTTAGGATAGTTTACTTGAAAGTAAAAGCTCAAAGAAAAGGTCAGAGAGTTGACTGTGGAGGAGCGAGGAAGAACTAGAGGGGATGAGAATGAGAGAAGGCAGCCCAATTTAGAAATACTTAGTTTGACATCAGCTTTCCTCCTGGTGTACCACTGAATTTAGATAAGTTTAGGAAGGGCTGCAGTACATCAAAAACGCTAAAAGCACAGATTGTAGGATCAGATAAGGAATTCATACTAGTGTGTGATCCTGGGCAAATTATTTTATCTCTCTGAGCCTGTTTTCCTACAA